TAGATCATTTTCCAGATGATTCTGCTATGATTAATGTCTTGCGAAAAGCTTCAGCAGATATTTCCTTCACAACATCTCAACCAACAATTGGTCCAGTTATCAACGCTATTTTCAAGTTTTGAACATAGTTTTGAAGTCGAATTCTCGACTTTCAAGATTTACATATCTACATGTGCCTATCTTTACGTTTATCAACGTAATATTTTAAGATCTGTGCAAGAACTCAGCTAACAGATGTTTCCACATATAAAAGCTATCTTCAACACATTAATTATTTTAACTAGATTTTTTTCTAATTATGAAAAATTTCAGGTTTTTGTGTTTAATTAACCATTTTATACTCATCAATGTGTCTGCCGGACATAATGACAGAAATTCTTATCAGTTCATACAATACAATCATTACCAATTAGAATTCTTTGTTTTCTATGTCAGTGTTTCTTGCTTACTTGATGGCAGTCTATATGAACAGTCAGCTGAGTACTACTGAGACCAGCCATAGGCTAGCTAAAACTATGAACAGGCTGTCTGAATCAGAATGACTGGGCAGCCTGTTTACATAGTTTTCATTGTTTCATTTGTCACCACTAGTTCAAGACAATATTTGGCTACCCATGCAATCATGGTACAAATTTTTCAAACCCTAATGAGACCTCTATTTGAAGCATAAAAAATACTTAAAACATATTTTTTCACATATTATATAAAAATTATCAAAGCAAAATAAAATTAAACACAATATACAAACTATTATCTTAGGAGAAAAAAGGTTATACCATTCCAATTCTTCAGAAAAAAAAAGCAATGATATACAATGTATATGCCACAATAAACATTCTCTAACAGCAAAGTCTTTTATCAAAACACAAAAAATAGCTTACACTGCATAATCACCCAACTTTATTAAAATGAGTTACAGAAAACCAGATGCTGCATTTTCAAGTGACTAACCTACTATCACGGTAGATGAATTATTTATCTTGAAATTTACTTACAAACAAGTTTATTGGACAAATCTGCAGATAAAATTGACATGTCCAAATTAGGAGCTGTTACATTAGCATTGGTTGTTAACATTGGATAACGAAGAAGCCAATCTTCGTATCCTCCCTCAAGAACCAGTGGCTTGCTTTTCAGTATCTTGGAAACATCCCACTACAAAGAAAATTAAACACTTTTATAGAATTTTATTAACATCTGTGAGCACTCAACTCAACTGAATTGATTAAATAAATATTAACAGACACCTAAATGTAGTCAGATGCCACTGAGATCAAATGACCCATATTATATAAACTCACTACACACAGAAGTAAACACCCATACATTAATAAGGTTTACACTTGGGGAAGATGTTTGTTATGTAATTATGTCTAGTTATTAATTTCTTTAATATAATTATATTTCAAAATCTGATTCCACTTGAATATTTTTGATAACATAGATCAGTGGTCGGCAACCTTTTTTGATCGCGGGTCAATTATTTTTTTTTTGAAAAAT